TATAGTGAATCAACGCAAAATGCCAAAACGTAATTAACAGTCCTTCTGGGCAAATTGTACCTATGGAATAATTATTAGTTAATTCAGTATTGAATACAAATTAGCTATGGAATGATATAGTAAACGATTACCTCAATTTTATTATTGGGAACTTCCAGCTTTTCATCTATTCGTACAAATAACCTAAATTCAAAAATAGGGAAAGAACAATATGTATGATATATCTGAACTTTTTTTAAAATTAATTTGATTAAAATTGTTTGATTGCATTATTCATTTAAAGCAAAGATTCAAACGCCATATACTTAAGTTCCATTTGATAAAGAACTTCTGGTGATACTAGTAGCTTTCTTAGATTAAGGTTACGTTAAAAACACGATTTCGGCGAAAAAATGCGATTTTTTTCAATTGCCCAATTTGAAAGGTCAGTTTTGTAGGATTCCGAAAATGGTTCATTTTTACTTTTGTGATAATTAGAAGAGAAGATATAGCCAATTAACTGCACTGGAAGTGAAAGCAGAAAGACGGAAGTGCCATTTAAAAAGCTCAACTTAAAGGTTAAACTGTTGTTATCCGTTGTTTTTTTTAACCTGTTTGGTGTGTAAAAAATTGTGCCAAAACATTTTATTTAAATTCTGGGTACTTTTTTTGTTTCTGGCAATAATTATATGCCTTAATTTTTTGAACTGGGACTGGCAACATCCCGGTTTTTTGAACTGGGTCTGGCAACATTTTGATTAAGTATAAAGACTACGTTGCTGGGTGCATATATAGCAGTTTTAATTTTTAATTCAGGGTATCTTGGATTACTTCCTGTGTTCGAACATTTAGGCATATCAATTGAACAAGAAATGATTAAAAATTACTTTGGAATTGATAACGAAAGAAAAAGAACTCCGAAACCTTCATTTCGTCGCTCATTTCGAAAATAGCCAGAAAAAAATTAAAAATAATAGGAAATCAAAATTACTTAAGTATAAAGATATGGAGGTGTGTGATATACAAATGTGGAGAATTTTAAGTGTATAAATACAACAGAACCTTTTTTCTGTTAATGTGAAATCTTAAAATGCGTTTTCTGGAAAACTAAATTTTTCTAGTGTTCTTACATACAAGAAATAATTACTCAAAATGTTCTAAAGGTATCTCTATTAAATTTCACAAAGTGTTTTCTATATTTATTTTTTAGGTTTTAAGCTACAATCTAAGTTATATTTATTAATTTGATTGCTTTATATAAGTATTTCTATAAAACGATAAGAAATATTTTACAAAAACTGTGTTTTTTCATGTAATTTATACATATTTTAGTAAATTTAGAAATATCAAACATTTTAGTTCATAACACAGATGAGTGTTGTAGTATACAGTATAAATAAAATAAAATATCTGTGGGAAAAAAATACGGACTTTAAAAGTAAGTGTTAAATTCTCCTAAAAATGTGCATAAAAATTGCATATATTTTAAAAAAAATTATGAAATATTCCTAAAAATTTACCTGTTTTCATGATTTGATATCATATTTTGACTAAATAAATATATATTTCATCAGAATTCTATGTTTTTAAAAAAAGTGCTCCGAACGTAGGCAGATACCTTAAACTAGCGTTAGTACCCGATACCGGTAAGTTAGATTGAGAGTATCTAACAACGGATAGAGTATCTAACAACGGAGAGAAGGATACCGCTGTAATCCTTCTCTAATAACGATGCAAAAAATACGATTCACAGTCACACATTTTTCACTTTGATGCGATATGGAACTCATATAAAAAATTTCTATAGAAAAATAAACTGATTCTCTCTCATTATATCAGCATCAACGGCGCGCAGTTTTTAATGATTTTCGTCTTTCTAATCCAATGGTCGTAAAAGTTCAAGTTTCAAGTTCCATCCAATATTTCACCTATATTCAGTTTTAATGTTCAGTTCGGTTAAATGTGGCAGAAAAATTGATCACTATTGATCAGAAATCAATAACGCGAACAAACAAACTTACACACAATGAGGCATTCTTATTTATATGTATAAAAACTTGCCAATTTTTGATTAACAAAATCAACAATTTCAAAGCGAGCAATGGCAATACTACTTGAGCGTGGATTCCCATTTGGGGCTCATGGCAGATTCCATCTATATTCCATTTATATTCCAATTTCCAGTCTCTGTATCAATCTAGATAAACAAATGTAAATTGAGAGAAAAAATACATTAAAAAAATCTGAAAGCGTTCAGATTTTACATTAAGCCCAAAGGAATATTTTTCTAACGTTTTGTGTGCTACTTTTATTTATTAAGTATCATAGCCTTCGCACTTTGTAGAGTCATTAGGTTAATTGGAAGCAGAAAAGAGGAAAAATATGCAACCGCCTTCGCTCTGGAATACCGGCCTAGCGTGCTACCGTTACACCACGACTGTACGGGGGGGGGTTATATCCAGCGCGCGAGAATGCGTATGGGAACTTCTAAAGGTGGGTCAGTTAAGAATGAGTTCTACCTTCTAAAGGTGAGGAACAACCTTAACCTTTTAAAGGTGGTTTCAAGCGATATTGCTCTTGAATTGAATTTTGAGCTTTAAGTTATAAGTTATTTCTCCTACTTCCCTAGTGTGCCTTCGTGGTGTAACGGTAGCAGTCTGGGCCGGTATCCCAGAGGTCCGTGTTTCGATTCCCGGCGAAGGCGGTTGCATATTTTTCATCTTTTCTGCTTCCAATTAACCTAATGTTTCTACAAGTGGCGCCCGAACTAAAAGGGTTGTGAATGATGATTCTCCGCACCCAGGATTCGGCGACTAGGTTCCCTAAAACCTTAGTCGCCCTTTAAAAAGGAGAGTATATAAGGTATTTCTCCCACTTCCCTAGCGTGCCTTCGTGGTGAACGGTAGCACGCTGGGCCGGTATTCAAGAGGTCCGTGGTTCGATTCCCGGCGAAGGCAGTTGCATATTTTTCATCTTTTCTGCTTCCAATTAACCTAATGACTCTACAAAGTGCGCAGGCCATGATATTTAATAAATAAAAGTAGCACACAAAACCTTGGAAAAATATTCCTTTGGGCTTAATGTAAAATCTGAACGGTTTCAGATTTTTTTAATGTATTTTTTTCTCTCAATTTACATTTATTTATGGATGTCTAGTTTGATACAGAGACTGGAAATTGGAATATAAATGGAATATAGATGGAATCTGCCATGAGCCGCAAATGGGGATCCACATTCAAGTAGCCCTCAGCTGGAAAATAAAATTCACATTGACAATAAATAGTTTGTAAATATATTCTAAAACCATTAGAGAACACGGCAGTATGCAGGAGTTGGAAATGATGTACATAATCATATGACATACCGGGCGTTTTGAAGATGCTGAAAATATCGAAAATTGCAAAAATTTTACTTCTTCTCCTAAATAATATTCTCCAACTGACTCATTTTCCAACTACTACTCAACAACTCCTGCAAAAGCTTGAGAAAAGTTTAAACAACAAAGTGAAAAAGTAACCATTGTTGCCAACCTAATTAAAGTTACCAAATTTCCACTACTAAGATAAATCCCCAAATGGGTATCATGGCAGTTAATAGATTAATGATTGAAATACTCATTTCCACGTTAAGGTAATTTAAGGGATAATCAAATATTTGTGCTCGTATATTTTCCGAATGAAAAGGAAATTTAATTAGTTTATTTTTTATAGTTATTATTCTTTGAATTTTTTTTATTTGCAAGCTATTAAAACAACATTTTAACATTTATTTTCAGCATGAATGTGAAACGTTTTTAACATAGTTTAATTTTAAGTCATATATGTTATAAGGTCCACTTTCCTAACGTGCCTTCGTGGTGTAGTGGTTCTGCACGCTGGGCCGGTATCCCAGAGATCCGTGGTTCGATTCCCGGCGAAGGCGGTTGCTAATTTTTCATTTCTCTGACTTCCAAAAAATCCTAATATCTCGACAAGTGGCGCCCGAACTAAAAGGGTTGCGGATGATGATTCTCCGCACCCAGGATTTGGCGACTATGTCCCCTAAAACCCTAGTCGCCCTTTAAAAAGGGGTATTTCTCCCACTTCCCTAGCGTGCCTTCGTGGTGTAGTCGTCAGCACACTGAGCCGGTTTTTCAGAAGTCCGTGGTTCGATTCCCGGCGAAGGCGGTTGCTAACTTTTCATCTCTTCGGCTTCCAAAAAATCCTAATGTCTCTACAATGTCAGTTATATAAGGTGTTATATGAAAGGAGGGAAGGTTAGCACTCCCCTTGACGGAATGGCCTCTGGGCCTAAACACATATACAGTTAAGGCACTGCCGTCTACTCTGCAGCAACTGAACAAAATTCCTCTGTGTAAGTACTGGCTAGGATCTGTACTTAGGCAGTCTCGGCCTCGGGGATAAAATCACGAATCTGACGGTTTCACGTTCGGCTGGGACATGATACCTTGAGACGAAACTTCGTTGGCCCAGAGTGGGTTGGCGTAAGTACTGTTTCTTAGAATAAGGCAGTTTGCGTAGTAATGGTAAGAGCATATAGACGACCAGTCAGATCTCCAGGCGTGCAAGTTCTCCGCCACTAGGAACCGGGAGTGGTGATCCCGCGCGCGCAGGAGGTAGCAGTGGTTACAGAGAATTATTAAAGTCTGTCATCTCGAATTGGGGCTTCGGGTGGTAGCACATTTGAATGGTGATCCATCCCTTGCCTGATATGATGAGGGGCCTTTCAATTGGAACCCGTTCCTGCAGCGTCTTAGAGATGGAGCAAGTAGACAATTGTTATTATTATATTAGTTAAATAACAAAGAATATCAAAACATTCCTTTACTGTAAAAAATAATTTTAAAAAAAGTGTAAAATAGGTCATTGGGGTCCGTTTTATTCATTGTTTATTTTTTATCCCCCCCTTTAATTGCATAAAAATAATACCCATCAAGCAATAAAACGTGAAACTCTAGACGTCATGAAGAGCTAAAAAGATTTTAAAAAGTGAACTCGGTATTGCGTGAATATCTTTCGAGCAGGCTCGTTTTAATTTACTCTATCCATTTCGACATACCATCTGACTCTCGCATAGTGAATACGATAGGAGAGAAAAAAGTCTCGAATCCGATACTATCTGTTCATTTTTTGTTAATGGAAACCGTTCTATTTATTTGTTTGCGAAATGAAGAAGGGCAACAAAAGACCGCACGGCTCACGGATCAACCGCCGTGACCGACTCGAAGAAAGAATTTATCAACGAAATGGCACCAACAAAACAAAAATTTGTATATGTATATATAGATAGATAAGCACTGGGAAGGGGGAGAGAGCATGTTCACAGCGGGGCCCTCATTGTACGAGGCAGACCCTTTTTGCGGGTTCGAAGAGGCATCGTTAGTAACGATCCCAAGGTGTCGACCTGAATGAGGTAGTTTTTTAATGGACCTGTGCCAATCTGGGCTATGCAATTCGTGATTGTACATTTTTATTGTTTTGTCTCTCAGACACTCGCTGGTCATTTGTTTCCGTCGTTTCATTTTCTCGCGTTGTGATATGTAAGTGTATGGAATGCCTTTTTTTTTTTGTTGTTGTTTTTCGTTTGTCCACTTTTTTTTTTTTTTTTTTTTTTTTTTTTTTTTTCCCTCACCGCTTACCGACTGCGCGGTCCACGTTTTATCCATTTGTGTTTAAAGAGCGCCGTGTCATTTGCGCAAAGATGTGACTGGTTTTCGTAACTAGGCACCAACGGGTCTTTTTCACTTCTTTCATTTCTTGCGGGTTTTTGTTTGGATTGCCCTGTAGGTGATGGTCACTCATTTTGTTTTTCTGCGTGGGCGCTTGATAGCAGAAGTAGGGCTTGTGTCTTTTGACTCAAGTAACGTCACTTTCGAGTGAATTACGCGATTCGAGTTCTCTCTGTTTCGCAAAGCGATAATTTTTAAATAATCGCTTTGCGAAAAAGACTATAAAAAAAAATTAAGAAAAAAAAAATTATTTAATTCTACAATTGTGGGTTCTATTTTTAATTGTATTGCCAAGTAATTAAAAAAAACTTGAAAGTTTTCAGATTTTATATTACGCTCAAAGGGGCTTTTTTAGTCCAAAGGACGTCAGCCAAGAAGGGCTATTAATTTCAAAATTCAAAATGGCATTTTGCACCAATTAACTTTTTAAACTGTTGCCACCAAATATTATCGCCATGTAATATATTTAAAAAAGTTAAATAATAAGGAATCTGTATAAATATATGTATGTTTCTCATATTGTGATAAAACGACGGTTTCTAGAGCCATCCAATTTTGAATGACGTAATCCTATGGCGAATATGGGCATCTGTAAGCCCAGATTTGGAATTTGTTTTATTAATTATTTCAGATTTTTTAAAACTTTAGCGAATTTTCGATTAACAAATTCAGCGATTTCAAAGCGGACTATGGCAACACCGCACGAAAAAAAAAAAAAATTATCTCCAGTGGGCCGGACTGTGTACCGGAAATTAACTAATTAACTAACATTAACAAACGAAGAATCTGCATAAATGTATTTATGTTTCGCACTGTGATAAAAACAACGGTATCTAGAGCCATACTATTTTGAATAACGTAATCCTCCACCGAATATGGGCATCTGGAAGCCCTAGGAATTTGGAGTTTGTTTTATTAACTATTTCATATTTTGTCAGACATTGAAGAATTTTTGATTAAAAAACTCAACTATTTCAAAGCGAGGAATGGCAACACTGTACGAAAAAAAAAAAAAAAAAAAAAAAAAAAAAAAACTGAAAGGTTTCGCTTTGAAATTACAAATCCAAAAACGGCGTTTTTTTAACATTTTTTGTGAGTATACCTTTATTTATTAAATATAAGTTAAGTTCGCAAGACAAAAATAAATTCATAAAAAAAACAAACAACAAATATCGCAAATAAAATAATTTTAAATTCAGCCTATCTTAAAAGAATTCCGATAGACAGTATCACAAGCTGGAAATAAGAATTTTTTTAAAGTTTTTTTTTTTTTTTTTTTTTTCTGTACAAACGTTGCCACTCGTCAGGGCCTTGAAAATCCCTTGAGTCTGTTAATAAAAAATTCGTTAACGTTTTACAAATATGAAATCGACAATGAACAAATTCCAATTTGGGTTTCCAAATGACCATATTCGAACCATCAGGTGACGTCATTCATTTCAAATTGGGATGTCACTCGGTATCGTTCTTTTACAATTAATAAGAAAAAAATAAATACATTGAAAATCGAAAATTTTACATTTATTATTGTTACATTTACATTCCGCCAGATTCTTCATTACATTTAATTTTCTTCATATTAAATACAGGGCGATAGTATTTGGTGGCAACGATTTGAAAAGTGATACAAAGTGAAAACAGCATTTTAGAGTTTTTCAACCCAAAAACAAAACGAAATCGCAAAAACGAAAACAAAGTCCTTAGGATAAAGCTCATTTGGTAATTAATAAATAAAATTCGAAAGCTTTTGAGATTTTAACATTATACCCAAAGGGACTTTTTTTTTTTACTTTTTTTAAACTTTGTGTGTTACCTTTAATTTATTAAATTATTATTATCGTTTTGTTCTTCTTTGCACTTAAAATAATAATTCATTTCACGCAATCAACAGCAATATCGCAAAATAATTTTAAAATGAGCGTACCTTTAGAATTTTTGATACACAGTCTCGCGCGCTGGAGATAAAAATGTTTCCCCCCCCTCCCTACAGTGTTGCCATGCCTCGCTTTGAAATCGTTGAGTTTGTTAATTAAAAATTCGTTTATGTGTTACAAGATGTGAAATCGATAATTAAACAAATTCAAAATTCAAAATGTTCGGCTGCAGGACTATGTTAATCAAAATTCGATCCCTCTAGATACCGTTGTTTCTTACCAGTGCCAGAAACATTCATGCGTTCCTGCAGATTCTTCATTATTTAGTTTCTTTAAGTATAATACATGGCGATGAAATTAGGTGGCAACAGTTTGAAAAGTGAATCGACGCAAAATCCCAGTTTGAAATTAATAACCCTTCTGGGCTAACGCCGTTTGGGCTAAAAATATATAAAAAAAAGGAAGGAGAAAGAAGAAGACAGAAAAATAATTATTAATTATTAATAAAACCTCAGTTTATTCTGCAGAGTTTTGAAGTTTAAAAAGGCGCTTCAGTTTCTTTGCACGTTTCAATGGCAGAATACAAAAAGTCAGTAAAAAGATACTGAATCAGTTTCAATTTAAATAATTTCTTCGAGTTTGGGAAATGGAAGTAAAATATTGCTTGCTTGAAGCTTTATTTAAATTAAGAAAGCATAAGACGTCTTCGTGACTCAGAAACAAAAAATACTTAGTTTTATTTAAAAAAAAAAGAAAGAAAAAAAAAAAAAAAAAAAAAAAAAAAAAAAAAAAAAAAAAAAGACTAAAAATTTGCCGCGGAAGTTTTATTGGGCACATTTGATTTTTTTTTTTTTCTTAATTCCTTGTACGAATTAAAGGAACTATTATAATCGAAAAAATTGTCGTGTATCATATTTCAATGGAAATATAGATTTTGAACCCTCCCGAGTCCATTTTGCAGATTTTTTTATCCCTGTGATGTAAGCATAGACTGAATAAATAAAATAAGATGAAGACTCCTTTAAGTAAAACTAAGTTTAAAGGACTCTTTTTACTTCCTTGTACGAAGTAAAAAGGAAGTATTGTAATCGCGAAAATTTGCAGGCAGCAATATTCGAAAATAATCCGAGCCATCATTTTGACCGCTTTCGAAGCAATTTAACGATTTTTTTTTTGCGTGATATATCTGTACGTAACGACATAATAAAAGACTCTTTTTTTTTTTCCTCCAAAAAATTAAAATAAAACTTAAAACTAAAACCAAAAATGAATTCTGAAGGGAATTTTCATGGCGTCTGTACGAACGTATGTACGTACGCACGTATCTCGCATAACTCGAAAACGAGTAGCCTCAGAACGTTGAAATTTTGTATATATGACTACTATAACATGTAGATGTGCACCTCGTATTTGGGTTGCAATCGGCTTAACCAAACGTATATAAATATATTTATATATATATCCATTCTGTTATTCGGCTCAGTGATCTCAGTTTCTTTACTCTTATATGTTTGTAAATTGCACATTTTTTTGCTTTAAAAATGATTGAATTATGTTGTTCTTGTCTTTTTTAAGGTTTTTAAGTTTAGCCTTTAGTAAATCTGTATGCAATATTTTTAGAATTATCAGAATTTTAAAGTTGTAAGTTAAAATTGCCACTAAGCCTAATATTTTTTTGATGGCGGCCATTGCTTTGTTACATTTGAAACAGCAGAGTAGTGGATTTGTTGCCAATCTAGAGAAAACATA